GCTCTGAGAAGCCTTCCCTGTCACTAAGATCCCCTGAAGCCTGCACGGCCCCTTGATCCTGGAGGCCAGCTGCCTTGCCCCCTTCTCTGTGCCTGGTCCCCACCGGGCCCTCCTCACCCAGGTGGTGGGGTCTCCCCCACCCTTTGCCCCCACGCTGCCCCCTCGCTGTGCTCTGGGTTGGCTGGAGTTTGGCCCCTCCAGGACTCTGTGCACCCTCCCTATCCCTCCGGCTGGGTGTCCTCCTGCCCTGCATCCTGGCAGCCCTGAGCCATCCAGCTGCTGGTGACCCCATATCAGCTGAGAGTCTGGCCGTGTCCTCCAAGCCTAGTGTCACACAGGGCAGGTGTCCTGTGCCCAGGAGCAGCACCTGACCTGCACGAGTTACACCTCCCTGTGTCGGATCAGCTAGTTCTGACCTGCTGTCCACTCCTTGGCCGTTAGCCCTGACCTGTCCATTCTACGGCTTGCCCGTTCTTTCTGCTGGACAGACTTCTAGAATGTTCAGCCTTTCAACATTCCCTGCTGAGCCTCAATGGAGCCAAGAGCTTGCCTGTGCTGTCTGGGGCTAGACCTGTGTGTGTCCATCCATCCTGACTCAGGCTGGGAGCCCAAAAACCCTAGACAGAGAACGGGGTCACCTGCTTGAGGGTGGTTTGGCCTGGGCAGTGGCCCTGTGGGGTGCACAGGCCCTCCTGTGAGTGAGTGAGCTGCTGGGGGCCAGATTTTTCCCATGTGTTAAATTGGAGAAGTTAGCGGTTTGAGCTACATTTCTGAGAGCCCTAAGGAAGATGCTTGAGGGATTTTGCAAAAGTGTGAATAAAATTCTGTTCATGTTTTTTTAGTTTTGCACAGAAGTGTACTTGCTAGAAGTCAGTGTGCATGTGTTGCCCTATTTGTCCCTTCCCCTGTTGGAGAACCCCGTGGGTTAGCTTGTGCCGTGCAGTTAACGTTCTTGGGCAGTGGTCAGCATAATCCTGCGCTACGTGCCAACACCTTGTCCGAGTGCATGGGTTAAAGGTTTGCTCAGCTCGGAGTCGTTGTTTTGAGCTCGAGTCTGGCAATGGCGTTTGCGCACTCCGTGTTTACGAGCCAGGCAGGACTTGGTGCGAGGCCCTGGTCCCACACCAGGTGCGGAGCTCCGGGGGATGCCTGTCCTTCCTGCATCACAGTACCGCCCTGTCCGGGTCCTTCCCAGAGGCGGTGGCCGGTCCTTGGGCCTTCTGCACATGGGGGGTGGGGGTGGCCGATGCTCTTCTCTGGGAGAACACAGACAGCCGGGGGTGGGGGTGGTTGTGCAGAGGTCATGCAGGGCCAGAGCCTGCATCTGCCGTGTCTCCAAGAAGGTCATTAAAATGTCTCCTGCCACTTTAGAGTGAGCTGTGTCCTCTGTTCCTTGAAAGTAGATGTTCTCAGGCAGGGACTTTTCTGCGAGGATGACATTAAGGGGCCGCAGGTTAAGATGGTTCTCAGAAGCTCAGACCGCGTCTCCTTCGTCAGACGTCAGCTCAAAAAGGCATTGATCGATGGGCATGCCGACTTCTCCTTCAAGCGCTAAGCGCTTTGTTTTGGACTCCCAAAGGCTTGCGGAAATGCCAGTGACCCCAGAGTTCAGCTTACTCTTGGAACTAGCGGTTTAATGTTTTATGAGTTTTTCTTCTTTGCTTCCCCATAAAGGCTGAGGTTCACCGGAGAAGACATGCCGGCGGGAAGAGTTGGCCGTCCAGGCGCCGGTGTCGTGGGTCAGGGCCCTGGGCTCGGTGCTCACATAGGGTCCCTTTCTGCCCCTTGGCATGTGGGGAAGCGGGCAGGGCCATCTGTTGGCTGGTGGTTTGAACAACTCTTCTGGCGCACTTTGGCCTGGATCTGTGGAAACGTCAGAGAACCGTGCTCCTGTGGGAGGCTGGGCCTTCTTGGTTCCTGAGGGCCTTGCTCTTCCTCACCCTCTGTCCTGCGAGGCCAGGATCCCCGCATGGGCCCGGCCGCCTGACTGTGCAGCCAGCCGTTTCACTGTCCCCGTGGAGTTTGTATCCAGAAGCGAGCCCCTCCTGGCTCCTCCTCCCCGGCCCTGCTTTGCTTTGCTTTCCTTTGCAGCTGGGTGGGTGGCTAAACGGGGAGGGTGGTCTCCCATTTGCTCATCTGCTCAAACGCCCTTTGCCTCGAGCCCCCTCCTTGTCCACGTTGGGGTCCCTCTCCCCTGCTCCCTTCCCGTGGGACAGAGCTGTGCCCTCGGCCCCCATGCCCTGCCCTGCACGCCTGTGCCTGGACGTTCCGTCACGTGCCAGTCACGCCTGTGTGTGTTTGCTGCCCGGTCGTCCTGTGCTCATGGTAGTGGCTGAGTTGTGTGCATGGACCCGAGTCCCCTCCCCACACTCTGCTTTGCGGCGGGGGCGCTGGGGGAGGCTGCACCAGCAGGGCCCCAGTGGAGGTCGGACTTGCTGGTTCAGCGGCGCCCACAGCCCCGGGAACAGCTGCTTCCTGCGGCGGCTGTTCCGTGATGTCAGGGCTTTGTCGTTCTGGCTCGGCGATGGCTTGACAGGTGGCGACAGCCCTGTGTGTCACCTCCTCTCGCCCCGCCGGCCTGCAGCCCCACGAGGTTGGCCGGGGCCTCTCGTTCCCTGGGTTTGTGCAGGGCCCACAGAGCTTGTTGCTGGGGGAGCCTCTGGCCACTGATGGTGCTGGGCAAGCCTCCAGGGAGCGTTCGGTGGTGCCCCCTGTCGTACCCTCGGGGGGATTTTACCTTCGTTCTTCTTTGGAGCAGTTGAGCGCAGACCACGTGTCAGGCCTCAGGGCAGGCCTTGGGGTGCGGTGCTGACAGCCCTGAGGGGGGAGCTCATTTCATGGCTGTGGGCAGGGCTGCCCGCCCCGAGCTGGCCCTGTAGGGTCGCCTGTCCTCTGGTGTTACTCCTTCCCTTCCTGGTTTCCTGGAAAGCATCTTACCACTGGGAGAAGTAGGTGTTCTTTCTACCTGGGCCCGAGGGCTTTGCTAACCTGGGCTCAGCCCCAAAGCCATGAAAGGCCCCGTCACCTTCCCGTGGGGGCCGCCAGACGCATGGGGGTGCTGCCTCTGAGTTGACAGTCTTGTTTCTAGGACACTTCAGGACGGGGCTGTGGGCTCTGGTAGGACACCGGGGGGCTGAGGCCCGCTGGTGCTTTAAGGGCCTGCACGGTGAGCTGGCAGCCAGCTGATGAAGATACAGGCGTCCTGTGCCCCGGCTTGCCCCCCGGCTGCCACCTGCTCTTGGGGGGTTGGTCTCCCGCCTGACCCCCACATGGCTGTGAGGGCATCACGCTGCCACACGGCGGGGTGGGGGGCTTGGCAGACTCCCCCAAGGCTGTCCCCAGCAAGCCGGTGCTCAGGGCAGCTTCTGAGCAGCTTGCTCGGACGGCGTGCTGGCCGTGGTCTTGCCCTGGCGTGCACAGACGAGGGAACAGGGCCATTCGCATTCGCCTCCCGTGTTGGAGCACGGATTCCAGGCCCTTGCGAGCCGCCCACCTGAGTTCAGTGATTGTGCCGTTGCTGTCACGGTGCTTGATTGTCAGGTCGGTCTATGAGGAGTTTAGATGGAATGAAAACTCAAGATAACCTCTTAATAGGCCTGTTTCAAGTGAACGTGGGCGCCTGTTTTTACGGGTCTGGTCGTGGAGCACCCGGAGGGGGCAGGTGTGGTCGGTCAGGTGTGCAGCTGGGTCACACCTCGGACGGCCAAAAGCAAGTGAGAGCCGGGGGCCCAGCCCGTCGTCCGCTCTCTCAGTGTGTGGTTCACCTTCACCTGTAAATTAAATAACAAGACCCCATGCTCAGGTGTGGGAGAGGAGAAATGAGCATTGTCCGTGTCCCTGCAGATGAAGGTTTTCTCCGGATCGAGCGGTCGAAGCCGAAAGGCTGCGGTCGGAGGCCAGGTGTGGCTGAGCCCCTGGGTGCCCTCCGCGGCCCTCAGCCCGAGCCCGGCGCGGTCCCGCCGCCCACCTCTGCGAGCGCTCCACGGTCCCGATGGCACAGTCCAAATGATACTCCGCTTCCCGGGGCTTTTGAGATTGTACGGATTTCCTTTGGGAAGAGGCGCCTTCCCCGCCCTGAGGGTTTAGTTCCTTACTGAGGGTCCTTTCCCAGTACGCCTCCCTTTCTGCAGAGCTCTCTTCCCGGGGGGCTCCCCCGGTCATCGTCCCCTCCATCAGGCCCTGGGGACGGCCACCCCGGGTGTAGAATCGTGAGGCTGTGTGGTCTTGGGAGTCAGAGGCTCTTCCCGCTCGTGCCGGGCACTGGCTGCCGTTGGCTGTTCAGGAGCACTTCAGAAGCAGAGGGCGGCCCCAGGCAGGACTGAGGGACTAAGGGCATTTGGGGGGAAAGAGGGGCAAAGACCAGGCTCTGAAGCTGCTTCAGGGCCATGCTAGGGAGTTGGGTGTTAGCCCGTGGGCGGTCGGGGGGGCGGGGCCGCCGTCTGAAGGGTCGACCTGGAGGGGGCTGGCCCAAGCGGGACCCGCAGGGAAGGTCGCTGTGCGGGGGTGTGGCCTGTCGTGAGCAGCCACCGAGAGGTGCCCCGGCCCACCGGGGTGTCAGAGTTCCTGCTGGCGGCCGACTGGGCCGCGCGGGGGGCGCGGGCTCCAGCTCGGGGTGGTGGGGGCTCCCCCAGCCCAACTGCACATCTGGCTGGTGTGCTCCGGATGGAAGTGCTCATTGGTAATTTAGCCCATTCAGAAGTGCTTTCTCCCAAAGCGCTGTGCTGCTGACAATTTTTCCCATTGTGTGTGGGGTTGAGCGCCCCCCTCCCCCGCCGCCTGCCGTGTTCTGGGATCACCCTGGGTGTCTCTTTGAAATCCAGACACTCCTGAAGAGCTCTAAGTAGCTATTCACCAGTGAGGAAATGGCAGTGTGCTGCTTGCACGTGCAGTCTATTTCGGGACCTGCGTGACGAGCGTGTCCTGGTCCTGGGGGGCCCACGGCTGGGGTGGCGTCCGCGGGCCCGGCCTCACCGCTCTGCCCTTTCTCCTTTCTCGTGCAGCGCCCGCGGGCTGGAGAAGGCCCTGCAGCAGCTTCAGGAGGAGGTCCGCCAGGTCAGCAGCCAGCTGCTGGAGGAGAGGAAGAAGCGGGAGACGCAGGAGGCCCTGGCGCGGAGACTCCAGAAGCGGGTCCTGCTGCTGACGAAGGTACGGGGCATGGCGGGGGCGCCCAGGCTGGCCCTGCTCGGGAGGCCTGCTGTCCCGGCCAGCAGCCACCTGCTGTCCCAGCCCATCCCTGCCACGTCCAGCTGGAGTGTCTGGTCCCCAGGCACCCATGGTTGACAAGATCGCTACCAAACGAAGGGCACTTAACCACAGTGGTTTACGTGGTTGGCCGGTCAGGCTTGTGTGGAGTTGCCTGGTGTTCCCCCCGACCCCCCACGGAAGAGCGTCCGCTTCCCTGCATCAAAAGCAGACTCGTGGCGGCTTTCTCAGGCTGTGCTTTTATCCTGGGATGCTCGCAGGGTTCTTGAGTCACAACAGAGACTTCCCCAAACCCCGGTGGTCCCTTTGGGACTCAGAGGGCCCAGGTGTGGGCCCTTCTGGATGGCCGTCCAGTGACCCAGTGCTCCTGGCGAGGGGCAGGGCTGGGGGCTGTGCTGACCTGAGCTCCCTCTTGCAGTCAGGGTCCATCCTGCCCTGGGTTGTGGGCGGGGGCAGCCTTCTCTTCCTTCAGTGACCTGCGAGCACAGGGTAAACGATGGTAGGTCTGTGACCCGTGGTTTGGAATGAGAACTGTCTGTGGGGTACAGATACTCTGGGCAGAATGTTCTTGTTCCCAGCCTCGTGGGTGGGGCCAGGCTCTCTCTAATCGTCCTGTGCCTGACGAGTTTCCGACGTCTGGCTCGACAGAGTCCGCTGGAACACAAATTAAGGTTTTCTGTGGGAGCGTGTTACTTAAACATTCCCTTGAGTGCTGAAGTTTCAGAAGACAGGAAGAGAGAGGCTGATTCTGTCCCTAAACGCTCTCCAGGCACAGATGTGGGGTGTCTAGCTTGCTGGGCAAAGACACCTCTTGTCTGCCCCAAACCCGACACTGTGTGGACCGAGTGGGCCCATCCCAGGGATCGATGGTCCGCCTGGGGGATGCCTGGAGTTGTGCCTCATGCTCTTGGCCTCTGGGACCTCCTGCTTATGAAGCTCGAGGGTACAGGTCATATTTCAGCTACGAAAAGCCTGCCATTTCATGGTTTCTCCGGCACATTCCTTGCCGTGTTGTCGCTTAAGAGCCTTGGCATCACTCAGGGCCCTGGGTCCAGGGGCTTCCCACGTCAGGCTTGGCCGACCTCTGCACACGGGCCCCTGGTGCTGCCCCCGGCCTCCTGGCTCTGTAGGTGATCCCTGCGGGGGAGTCATGTGAAATGCCCTCATGCGCCACCCCCATGGCTGAGCTGGGGCCTGAGCACTCAGTTTGTGAAAGTCGTGTGTGGGATTTGGGGGAGTGGGCACGAAGGTGCTTCAGTGCTGCTGGTGTGGGTCCAGACCGCAGGCGGTGGGGGGAGGGGGGGGCAGCGGGAACAAGAGGCAGACAGCACGCCCGCCCCGGAGGGCATGTCCATGGCTTGGATGGAGGAGCTGCGTGTGGCCGGGGCGTGGGACGCCTGTAAGTGGGGGTGAGGCCAGGCTGCAGTCCCTGACGGGGGAAGCTCGGGCTTTCCTGCAGAGACGAGCAGGGGGAGCTTCCGCTGTGACCTTGGGGAAGGCGCTCAGTCCCTCTGGGTCCCCGTTTCAGAACAAGCAGGGGTGTGGTGCGCTGAAGCAGCCTCATGGGCCAGCCCGACGGGCTCCCGTGTGGACAGTGATCGCGGGGCATGTGAAAGCCACGGAAGGAGGAGACAGGATGGAGGTCCCCGAGGGATTGAAACCTGGGATCACCGCACCATCCGGCAAGCCCACCTTGGGCTTTTACCCACAGGAGACGGAATCTGCGTGTGGAACAGGTGTGTGCACCCCATGTTCTCAGGCGGCATTGTTCACAGCAGCCCAGGGGCCTGGCAGCGGGGTGGGGGGGGCGGGCAGAGAAGACAGGGCGTAGGCGCACAGTGGAATATCGCTCAACTATGAAAAAGAAGGAGATCCTGCCATTTGTCACAACGTGGGGGGACCTGGAGGGCATTGTGCCAAGTGAAATAAGTCAGAAGCACACATACTGCATGGTTTCCCATGTGGAGTCTGAAAACGCTGAAGTCACGGGTGCTGGGTTGGTGGTTCTGGGGCAGGGGCTGGGGTGGCGAAATCGGTGGACATGGTCAGAAGGCACAGCCTTCACTTGTAAGATCCATCATAGAGGGAAAAACACCAGCCACAGATGTGGTGCGTGCCCGCCACTCCTGGGAGGCTCTGGGTCACCCCGTGCCGCGACTCGGTGACAGCACCGTGTGCCACAGGAACCGTTGAGTCCCCTTACACGAAGTGTTCCCCTTCTCAGATCTCCTGTGGGTCATGCAGGTGTGCTCACTGTGTGGCAGGGGAGGGATTCAAGTGCAGAGAAGCAGCTACTGTGCACGGGGCCAGTGGGTCCTGCGTTCATGCTGAGTGAGTCCCTCTGGGAAGATCTGCCCGTTGGCCGTCAGCCAGTATGAGAAGAACCTTCCTGTCAGCACAGCGCAGCCTCCGTTTCAGTGGGTATGCGTGCGAGCCCCACACCGGGGGGCCAGCCGCTGCGAGCCCTCTCTGTTGGCCGAGGTCACTTGGGTTCTAGCGGTTAGAATCCCCGTGGGAGATCCCTGTCAAACCCGCGCCTCGCGACAGGAGCTGGTGGGTGTGACCCCCACCCGCAGACCCCGTGGCCCTCCGTGCCCAGACTGCGCCCCACCTTTGTGAGGTTTTGGCCTGGCTGTCTTGTCGGGTATTTTCTGTCCCACAAGCTGACTGTCTGGGTCCCAAGGCAGGAAATTTCCATTCTCCCTGTCTCAGCAGGTTGGAAGTCGATGGCCCTTCCCGGCCTCATTCCGTCCCCACGCTGACCTGCGGCGCTCACGGGCCTTGCTGAGTTCGGGAGAGAGTGGGTATTGATTGCCTGGCGCTGACTGATGCGTTGACCATTGCTCAAAGGCACATTCCCGATGGGTCGATAGCAGTCTCCCGCGCCGCCCTGGGTCCAGCTCGCAGGGGCCTGGCTCGCCAGCCAGTGGGGTAATGAAGTCGTTCATCAGGCTTCTCTGTGTGCGCGGGGGTGCCAGGTGCACGCCCACCGTGTGTCCACGCTCGCGGTGAGCCCGCGAGCTCCGAGGCCTGTCGGTCAGACACCAGCTGGGCCTGCTCCTGTTCAGGTGCTTCCTCCTCAGGGCGCCTCCAAGGTGGCCGTTCTCGGGGCTCGAGGGAGTTTGGTCACTCGTCTTCCCCTGTCCTTGCTGAGGAGGGACCCACCTCCGTGGGGCAGAGCTGTGTGTATCGCGCCCCCGCCCCCGCCGCGGCTCTGTGCCAGGCCGACCGCAGGCCTGCTGGCTGGGCTCTGGGCGCCTGTGTCCCGTCGAGGGCCCTGTTTGTGTGCTTGACATTTCCACGTACAGTGCTTGGAGTGTGCGGTTTTATTTTGAGACCTTATTAAGCGGCTCTAGTCTAAGGGTTTAATTGTTACTGATAGCTGAGAGTGTAATCACCTTGGTAAAATACCATGACTATTTTAAGCAATTGAAAATTGGCTTCCGGAACTGGGTGAACACAAACCATTTTCCTATTTGAAATGAGCTATTTCCAGTGTGCCCCTGATATTCCACAGTATGGTTATAGAATTTTGTTATTTATAGAACCTCAGCAGTAAAAGCTAACTTTTAGCAAGAGATTAAAAAAACAAATGAAAGTAGAAGCTTCCCTTAACTCTTCTTTCTATATCCTGTTCCCCATCCCAGATGCCAGAGTGCAGTGGTTTCTGAGAGGAGGACGCAGGTCACAGGTGTCTTTTTTTTTTTTTTTTTTAAAGATTTTATTTATTTGACAGAGAGAGAGACAGCTAGAGAGGGAACACAGCAGGGGGAGTGGGAGAGGGAGAAGCAGGCCTCCTGCCGAGCAGGGAGTCCGATGCGGGGCTCGATCCCAGGA